TGACGCTGCTGGAGAGGGAGGGCACTCCCTCATCAGAGCAGGTCACTGTGATATTATACTCAGAGGCTGTCTCTCTGTCTAAATCACTGTCTGTTACTAGGCTAAAGAATTTTTTTGACGTTGTTTTCATCAGAAATGGCATGTGTTCTTTGATACTACACGACACTTTACCATTTTCCCCAGAGTCAGGATCTTCAACATTAAATATAGTTACGACAGTTCCTGGCCTAGAATTTTCTGATATTGAATTAGTTTTAGACATAATATTAATAGATGGGTGATTGTCGTTCGTATCGGTTACCTCTACAATAATTTTACACGAATCTGTTAGTCCTCCATCATCACTAGCTTGTACGTGTATTTCATATTGCTGTGCCTTTTCATAATCCAGGTTTCCAGATAAAGCTACAACACCATTTTCTTCGTCGATTTGAAACATAAGAGGGACATCATCCAACGTGTTTGTTATTGAATACGACACTTTTCCATTTGAACCTTGATCTGCATCTATAGCACTAACGGTACTCAAAATTGCTCCCTTTGTAGCCGTCTCCGCTATAGTAACCTTATATACTTCCTGCGTAAATACTGGGGCATTGTCATTAGCGTCTAACACTGAAATGTCTACTCGCATTGTTCCCGACAGCTGAGGATCACCACCGTCAATAGCTGTGAGGGTTAAAGAGAGGTGCTCTTGCGCCTCTCTGTCTAGATGTTTTTGCAAAACCATCTCCACCTTTTTACTCCCATCTTGCTGATTTTGGAGTTTGAGATGAAAATTATCTGTAGGTTTCAGCGAATAACTCTGCAATCCGTTCACACCCACATCTAGATCCATAGCTCTTTCTAACACAAATTTTGCCCCAATCACAGCCGACTCACTGATCCTAAATTTCATCTCATCCTTTTTAAAGCTGGGTGCATTATCGTTAATGTCATTTATTTCGACTGTGACAGTAAAGAATTCAATCGGGTCTTCCAGTGTAATTTGAAGATGTAAAGCGCAAGGTGTTGTCTGTCCACAGAGCGACTCTCTGTCGATTCTCTCTTTCACAAGCAGGACTCCTCTGTCTTTATTCAGCTCGATGTATTCTGCACTGTCTCCTGTATATATGCGAGCTTTACCGGACTTCAATCTTTTCACGTCTAAACCTAAATCCTGCGCTATGTTACCAACTAGAGAGCCTTTTGACATTTCCTCAGGAATGGAGTATGTGACCTGCCCGAACACTGAGCTGAGAGATAAAATCGAGATGAACAACAGTACTTGCCGTCTCATTGTTCTGTCCCACATTTTATCTTCGACAAAAACTGTAGATGTAAAGAGATATTCCA